AAATAAATAAAATCTTTAAAAAAAAAAAAAAAAGATCTATCTAATTCATTCTTAAAAAGTAGTCTTATAATCAACATGTACTGAGTACCTGGGTGGTGAACACAGTATTAGAACCAGACACTTTTTAAAACAAAAACTGTTCAAAAGCAGTTTATATTAATGAGTCCTGTATCTCTTCAAAGTGAAGATTTTCTTCTCAACACCACCATCTGTTACTAATCACACCCACCCAAGAATACAGACTCAAGAAACCAAACACACATATTTCTCATGTTTTGATGGGATATCATTAAATCTTTTGGGTGCCAAAAGGAAAAAAAAAAGGACACAATTATAATCTGATTCTAGTAAGATTTTATTTATTTATTTATTTTTTCTAGTAAGATTTTATAATACTGTATTTAACTTCTCTTGTTACCTAGCAGGGAAATCATAATATCATACCATGGTTTGGTTTTAGAAAAGTCTCAGAACTCGAATGGTGCTTTTAAGATTAATTAATTCCTACAGGATATCTCTAGACAGACAAATCCCAAATCTCATTATCATTTGTTTCTTTTTTAGCACTAAGTAGTAAAAAGACTGATTTCCACTCTCTTCAGTCTGCTGTAAGATGAAGACCCAAATAAGGAGGAAAAAAGTGAAAAGGAATCTTAACTAATCTAAAACTGATATAGTTAACCAATGCTTCAACAATTTTAAAAAGCTAATTCTATACTAAATATTAAATACAAACCTACGTGAATCACACATGCTTTCTTCAACAATATTCTCTTAAATCAACAGAGAACTGTTTACCAGCCCAACTGCTACAATAGTATATTTAATAGTACAGTATAATAAATATATTACTATTTCTCCATACGATTATCCTCATTTTTTTGATATGAGGAAACTGAGGCATAAGGAAGTTTAATAACTTACCCACAACTACACAACTGTTAAATTATACAGCTGGATGTGGAGCTGGGCAGACTGGCTCCAAGGCTGAAGCCCTTAAACTCTACAATGGTGGCATATGCAGAGCATACAGAGCATATGCATAATCATTAGCAGAAAAAGCAATCCACTTTGTGTTAGTGATGGCCTATAGAGTTCAAGTGGCCAATATGATCCTAAAATAAACAGCATGTACAATGATAAATATGGCCACAACAAAAACTAAAAGGTAGGTACCCACAATGGGATAAGTAAAGGAACAGAAGAGGCTCAAATGTTTTCCAAGCACTCTTGACTAGTATTTTGGGAATAGTTTGCTACAAGGTGTTTGGTTTTGTTTTTTTCCACATATAAAAACATATCTTAAAAAAAAAAAAAAGTCTTTATAATGGGGTGCTTGGGTGGCTCAGTCAGTTAAGCATCTGAATCTTGATTTCAGCTCAGGTCATGATCTCAGGGTCCTGGGATTGAGCCCTGAATCAGGCTCTGCTCTCAGGGGGAGTCTGCTTGTCCCTCTCCCTCCCTTTCCCCACATGCTGTCTCTCTCTCTCTCTCTCTCAAATAAATAAAATAAAATATTTAAATATAAAGTCTTTATAATTACCTTTGAAATATAGAAGTATTGAAATAGCAACTTCTTAAGCTTATAGTCCTTTGTCTTGAAAAGTTCCTACAAATTACTATAAGTTCTTATTAATTCCTAAATAAAAATGGTCTTCCTCACCTCTGCTTAAGAAGCATTAGAACAAGACATCTTTTAATTTTGACAAATTAAACCATGAGAATCAACAAAACTCATAGTGATACTAAATCTTCAAAAATGAGTTATTTTAAATGGTACAGCGTCTATGGAAGACCATATAGCAGTCCCTCAAAAAATTGAAAATAGAATTACTATATGATCGAGCAATTCCATTTTGGGGTATATACCCAAAAGAATTAAAAGCAGGGTCTCAAAGAGGTATTTGTACAACCATGTTCATAGCAGCATTATTCACAATAGCCAAAAAGTTGAAGCAACCCATGTATCTATCAGTAGATGGATAAACAAAATGTGGTATATTCACACAATAAAATATTACTCAGTCTTTTTTTTTTTTTTTTTAAAGATTTTATTTATTTATTTGAGAGGAAGTATGGGGGGGGCGAAGCAGAAGGAGAGGGAGAGAGAGAGGATCTCAAGCAGACTCCTGGCGGAGTACAGAGTTTGACAGGGGGCTATATCTCAAGACCCTGAAATCATGACCTGAGCTGAAAGCAAGAGTTAGAAGCTTAACTGAATGAGCCACCCAGGCACCCCTTTGTTGTTGTTGTTGTTTTTAATAGGCTTCCATATAGAAAAATTTTATTTTATTTAGATATCCAATTACTTTTGTTGGTTAGTTATGGTATAATGTTAAGTCTGTAACTTTGATTAAGACTGATCCATTCTTCATCCTTGCTTTTTTTAATTTGAAGAATAATGCAGAAGTTTCTGGGTTCATCTTTATACCCCACGTCCAATTTTAGGGGGTTTATATCAAATTCTAATAAAGCATTATGATTAGAACTTCAAGTAGAGACATGAAAAGAGACATGAGATAATATCTCATGTAGGGATATTCCTGGGTTGTCACAGAATAACCAATAGGACTCCCATTGAGAAGTGTTCATTTTAGGGATCCATCAATTCCTTAACACTATTAAGATCTATCTAATTTGGGGCGCCTGGGTGGCTCAGTCGTTAAGCGTCTGCCTTCGGCTCAGGTCATGATTCCAGGTCCTGGGATAGAGCCCCGCATCGGGCTCCCTGCTCGGCGGGAAGCCTGCTTCTCCCTCTCCCACTCCCCCTGCTTGTATTCCCTCTCTCGCTGTGTTGTGTCTCT